GAACATTTTATGCAGTTTTACTTCGCAGCACTTCACTTGCAATTTGCAATTTCTAGTTTTAGCTTTGTTCTAGCAACATTTCTAAACGCTATAGACTAGTGGCAAACGGTTGAGCCGATTTCAATCAAACTTGGTCATTAAAACCATTGACACCTCCCATACATGGGTCAAATGTCACATTGGGGTCATCAGGGTAAAAAAAACCCCAAATATTTACAAAAGATTACTGTTACGAATATCATAGGCATAAGGTGTTCCGGAATTTGGGTACTGTCTGTTTGTTTATTCAAATTTTCCACACATCATAAAACAATCTCAAGTGCCGTTTTAATTTGTACTAATAATATAAAATGGATATTTATACAAGGTAAATAAGCTTAATTTTCATATGTAAGTTATAAGAAAATAGTAAGTATTAATCAGCATGGAGAAATAAATGTGTGGGTGGAATTCAAAATAAGTTCGGAGAACTTAGGTCATGACCCCTATGATATGTTTTAATCGTCGATGTTTAGACGGAGTAATTATTGGGAAGTAAACAATGATTAAGTAAAAAACAAACAAAAAATTATAATTATAATTATAATGTATAAAAGGAATACATTATTATACACAAATACATACACATACATATATGTATAATTATACATATACATATGCACATACATATACATACAAACATCACCCTGATCAAGGCAATAAACCCTGTGGTAATAGGAGATGCCAACTTTGCGAAATCATCACCACCGACACACCATTCACAGTACCGGGCACTACACATCAAATATGCTCTCCTCCATTAGATTGTACATCTAATGCTGTTTATTTTATCTATTGTGATAAATGTAATAATAATAAGACAATCAACATTTCAACTTGCCAGACCACACTAAATTATGCCCATCTGTTCATTGGAATACAATTAATTCCACATAGGTTGTACTATAGTTAGTTGGCAAGAAATCAAACCTGAACATTACCTTGAGTTGTTTATAAAGTTGTCTTCCCCTTTCCTCTCCTCTCATTCTGATTGAAAACTCAGTCTCAACACATCCAGGGGATATGCTCTAAAATAAAATATAATATAAAAATGAAATATAAAAATATGTTTCTTGATTCATTCACTCACTCACAAATTGATATATTGATGACTTCAAAAGTCTGGGAAAATAAATTAACTAATAAACTGTATGTAGACAAAGGAAGCAGAATCATACAGCAAATTATCTAAACCATACTCAAGTTGGTGTGGAAACCAGTAGGGGAAGGGCACATCCCCCCATCCCCATTTTGCCACTAAATTTTTGAAATTTTATTACTTAATGCATATTAATGTTATGTATTGAAATAAGTGCTACACACTTATCTATTCTGAAAATGTAGTGGTGTGGTGACAAAACAGAAATGTTGAACTGATTTAAATCCCAATTTGGAGAGACTACGTTTCAGCGTTTAATTAGTTATCATAATATAATTTTCTGGATAGGTAAGACCTACAGTATGAGCTGACCTCAGGAAGAAAATGAATTCTAAATTAATTATACAGTGTAGTAAAAACATGCGATTTGAATTTGCAGCACATTATATGCAGTGGCGTATCCAGGTGCGGGGTACACACATCTCAAAATATTACTCGCCGCCCCCAAAAAATCACAGTCAAGTAGTTAAAAATCACCTTATTTTTGCAAATTAGAGCCTCTCAACTGATCATCAAGGTCCCCTCCCCACTTTACCATCGCACCCCCATCACCACCCCAATTTAAAGTATTCTAGATACGACAGCCAAGAAGGCTGTCTGATTTCTAAGAAAATCCTTTGAATTGCCGGAGACCTGGGCTGTACTGGTGACAACAGCAATGAACAAAGTAATAATAATAATAGCTTGGCTGGTTCAGAAAGGATCAATAATGAAAAAGCCACATAAAAAAGTGTAACCAACCGTAATTCTGATGTTCAAGTTTTTTGATCTAAGTTCTTGTCGAAGTCCCTCTGTCATAGCTGTAACCATGTGTTTTGTTCCACCGTAAAATCCCATGGTTGACCCTGGTCCAGCAATTCGATGTCCATCCATACTTGAACAGCAATAATCATCAATGTCAAATCAATGTCAAATATTACAAATAATATATTTCAAACAATAAACTGTAATTTTCAAGAAATTTAATCAATCTAATTTGATATTATTATAATTGTTTTTTTAACTTTAAAACCTTTCATTTATTCAAAAGCTTTATGTAAAACTCTTTACACAGTTACCTGTTTATATGAAATACATGTCCATCGTTTACACCCCTCTCCATCATCTGACTAATAGCCTCTCTTGTACAGACTGCAAGGGCCAACACGTTCACCTGTTCAAATTTACAAAAACAAATTTACACAATTAATAATAATAATAATAATAATAATAATAATAATAACAATAATAATAACAATAATAGTAACAATAATAACAATATAAATAATAATAATAATAATAATAATAATAATAATAATAATAATAACAAAGTGTTTGTTGTTCTGCCAGCTAAAACTCAAATTTGCAGGGATGTAGTTATGGTGGGCGGGGCCACCCAACCTTGAAGTTTTCCACCCAGTCTAAAGCCAATTTCATGGCCCTCCACTCACACTTATTAACCCACTTTTCCATCCTTACAGTCAACTTTTATTATTTAGAGTTTACCATGTTATCATCCACCCACCCTTAAAACGTCAATCAACCACCCTTAGTTTCCTACAACTACACTCTGAATTTGGGTTGGAGTGCGTCCTCACTAATTATTATGAAAAAGCTTTGTTAAAACGAATGGGATTTTTGATCGATACACTAAATATTTAAATTTAACAGAACACATGGTAATACATTTGGGTAAACTTAGGAAAAGCTATGCTGAGATAGGTTAGACCAGTAGGCATTGAGGGACAGAACTAAAAAAAAGTTTAGTGAATGCTGCAATGTTATGTTAGGCTTGCAAAATAAGCACGTAATTTTATAATCGGTATTCCTATTTTCCTTTTGTTTAACAACATATATAAATCATGTTTTTCAAGTAATGTAGCCTACCTCCAACATGTATCGCCAATGTTCCGTTTTTCCAGACATCAACGGACATTCAAAGGAAAGACCAGCGTTGTTGACACAAACATCAACTCCACCAAACTTTTCCTTAATTTCAGAAAACATAGCTAGGATGTCCGTCTCCTTACTCAAGTCACATTTCACTGGGTACAGAAGACCTGATGAATTCTGGGACTTGAGTTCCTCAGCAATTGCCTAGAGAAAGCACACTATTAATCAAACATGAAATTGGATAGGTGCAATGTTTTCTGACAGCAAACTCAAATTTTCTCACACTATATTGACCTTATCCATGTACCTTCATTGCAAAGAGAATAACTATACTATAGATTACAAACCCGCCCACGTTTTGTCTGAACTGTCACACTTTCAGCGTTTATGACCCATTGTTTTGACCTCAAACAAAATTTGTGAATAACCCAATTTTGATATAATAAGTCGTAATTTGTCCATTATTTTATTTGCCAGAAACACAATGGTTCCTTTATTGCAGCTATGACAAAGAAAAGTCTCTGGCGGGATCGAATTGGGCGATCTCTCGCTTTAAGGTGGGTATCATGTTGATGAGCTACTATACTTGATAAGATTATTACAAGATGTTCCTGTTAGATCAAACTGTTATTATTATTTATCTATTTGTTTATATATGTTTGAACCTGGGTCTACAGCGCAAGAAGCAGGAACAGTACCTCTCGGCATGGTACACATTTGCAGCATAATTATGCATTTTGGCATAATTTGGACACTGTAGCACTGTATGTAGCATTATTGCTACACATAGTTTCGTGAAAATTAATGTAGCATACATAACATAAATTAGAAAAAACAAAGTGTTTATTCTGCCAGCTAAAACTCAAATTTGCAGGGATGTAGTTATGGTGGGCGGAGCCACCCAGCCTTGAAGTTTTCCACCCAGTAGCCACCCTTGTTTTTTTTTCCCACACCGTAGCACTGCATGTAGCATCATAGTTTCATAAAAATGTGGCATTTACATAGCATAATTTAGAAATTATGTAAATTTTGTTACATTTAGAAAAATAAATTGCAAAAAAGTCTGAGAGTGCCATTTCCAAGCACCTAAAAGTGCCTAGTCTTTAAATTTTCTCACCTCATTTAAAAAGGCAATTAAGTAAGGGAGTGTGGAAGTGAATGGGTTAATTCCACTAGGGGAGGGGTGGGGTGATGCTGCTCTATCGAGAATTCTTAGGAAGTGAAGTTTTTTTTAATCATTGATTGAGAAAAACTTTATTTCTGCTATTTGTAACCAAAATGTCAGAACAAAGCGGCCAATATCGCATAGGCCTAGGCAATAATTGCATATGAATATATGATATATAGGCTAGCAATGATCACAATAGTATTAAACGATGTATAAACTTACAACTACTATCAGGGAGTTGTTATAGTGACAACTATAACAACTCCCTGCAACTACTAAGCCTAACCTAGTCTAGGCCAACTATATAGGCCCTCCTACTAGAATAATAAATAGGCCTAGCCTCTACTACTACTAGGCCTAGGGCCTAGACCTACCTTGACTTTGTCGAATCCGTTGTTGGCACATCCAACGACCTTCATTCCGTGTCCAACCAATTTGCGAGCAATTGCTGCTCCAATTCCTACAGAGGCACCAGTTACCAATGCTACCCGTCCAACCCAACGTTCTGCCATGATTAGTAATAATATTGCACCTCTCTCCCTCTGACACGTGCACCAAAGGAATCACCAAAGATCAAAGGGCCTAGAGTACCTAATTTGCATAAAGCGCCACCACACTACAATCAACTATTTCATACCGTCGTTCTATCCAATTTACATTTTACGCCCACAAAATGTAACAACACTCCGCCCACATAATGTAATAGTGCCCACAAATGTAACAACCAGCACCCACAAATGTAACAAACAGCGTCCACAAATGTAATAACTATCATCGCCCACAAATGTGATAAAACGCCCACAAATGTAACAACAAAACAGGACATCTTCGCCCACAATGTATAATTTTCTTTGGATAAATCTATAAGTGTACGAATAGTGGGGAGCCCAATTGCTAAATGTGACCAAAAACGTATTCATTCAATTCATTTAAAATCGTGCACAAAATAGTTGAACAAACTTTAAAATATGTTCCGAATTTGTAGTGCATCAATCAATCAATAAATTTATTAGCAATAACACCTTCAGATCGGTGGCACACACAACAATAATTGTGGTGCATCCAAATTAACAAATTTTACAGACAGTGAAGTAAATTTAAAAGTAGGCGTATAAAGAAACACAATAGAAATAGAATGCTTAACTTAATGCTAAATAAAACCGAAAAAATTAATTAACGTAATTGATAAAAATTCAAACAGGCTAATAAAAATCACAAACCTGTAAATCAAACAAAAGCAACATATAAAATAAATTTAGAAGTAAAAATGAAAGACAAACAAATGTCAAAAGTAGTACCATGTCAATGAAACATTGCTCTTATTAAGATAAATTATTTATGGAATTATGGAGAGGAATTAAAATTGATATGTTTCGGACAATCAGAATGAATAATTACAAGATCCTGTATATAATAATGAGATCGGATACACAACAAAAAAGCGGTGCATCCAAATTAACCATTTTTACAGACTTATCGTACTGTGGTACAAAGCTTATGTAAATGTATACCTAAATGAAGGAAATAGCCTTGAATTAATTCAAAGAATACCAAGCTGTTTCATGATCTGTTGGAAAAGATTTGGAATACAATCCTCTTGCCCTCTGGCATTGCTGGCAGTGGGAAGTGATTAGGTTGCGGTTGAGTACATGTAAAGAAACTAGTTGTGGTTATTGAAATGTTAAACAAATATTGACGCCAACAGAACAATATGATCTGCACTATTTTCAGCAATGTTCAACCAGGGAGTTGGTGAAACTAAAAAGTAGGCCTATTGATGAAGTATATTCACACAAAATAGATAAACAGCTTTAGGTAGTATACCTCCATGAAGTATACCTCCATGAAAGAAGCCAAACAATAACGTGCGTGTCGACATTACAATTGCTTTAGAAATACATCTTCAAAAATAATTTTCTAGAGCATATGCACTATGGTACGGACTATATTTAGTACTAAATTAAGAAAATAATCTTGTAAGTAATTCAAAAGATACGAAGCGGTTCGTGTCTTGTTTTGAAAAAAAAATGATCTTACAATGAGGAAATTCATGATGTATGTCAAAAAAAAAAAAANNNATATATTGTAGGGTTCTTGATTCCCTGACCCCGGAAAATTTCTCCCGTCCGGAAAATTGGCCATTCTAATTCCTCCGCTCTTCCCAGTCGGGGGAACATCAGACCTGATATACCGTTGACTCTGGCGGCACCACTGGGTATACAGTAATAGTATTGAGAATAGTGTTGCTTTCATTTTAGGTGGGAGGAAGGCGCTTATTTAAACAACCATTAAATTTAACATTTGGTATAACTTAGCATAATTTCCTATCAGCCCTTGACATAATTTGATTGGATCACTGCTGGTCACAAAGAAAGGTATAGGCATATTCATTTAAGTATTGCGGACGCATAAATAACGCTAAATGTTTTGATTTTAAAGAAGATAAAGAGTAGTTAATGTGATCTACCAGGATGGAACCGGTAGTTCGAATGGAGGAATTATTGTCTTGCTTAAACAGCTTGTTTACCACCTTCCTTGCATCATTCTGAAAATGTTGTATTTTTAAAATGTTTATAATTTTTTTTTAAATCCAGACCCCCCATAACCCCACCCCGTCCCTTTTTCATCCACACCCCGACAAAATACCCTCTTTTATCAAGGCTTGACGAATAAAATTCTTATGTTTACTAAATTCATCAAAACAATAGGGATGCCATAATCAGTACGTGGATGTTTCAGCATTATAAAGGTATAACCAATTTCCCCCCGGGTATCACCAATCTCTTTGGGGTATCGACTTAAAAATAGAAAATTTCTGTTCCCCAAACTATTTCCAGCCAACCGTAGAAAATTTCATCGCAATCGCTTAATGGAAACTGTGTTGTTGTTAAGGAATTTCTTTGACTACTGCTGTGATTTTTCATCAACTTCTTCAGTACTTTTAAGCCCTTTTGCTCAGAACTTTATAGGCCAGTTTATAGAGAATAATTATAATTCAAAATAGCTTAACTTTACACATAATTGTCCACTTAAGGTCACTGAGCCGTCATTATAAAGTTAATTATGTGCTCTATTCATTTACATTTAAATAAAAAAACATGATAGAGTACGAGTTTACAGACCTTTAAGTTTTGTGATCTTGGGTCATAAATGTCTGGGAGGGTTAGGGTTCATTTAACATGCTGCAAAAATTGGTTCTTATTTAAATGTGATGGAGATTCAGTCCTTGCCATGATGGAGAAGATACGGTACCAGATGTGACAATTTTCAGGTTATTTCAAGTCAAGTGTTATTTAAGGTCAAGTGCTGGAAAAAATTTAAAAATGTGATGGTACATAGTTAGCAAAATTAATGAATATCCTCGTTCATGGAATTCCTTGCCATGATGGAGACGATACGGTACCAGATGTGACAATTTTCAGGTTATTTCAAGTCAAGTGTTATTTAAGGTCAAGTGCTGGAAAAAAATTAAAAATGTGATGGTACATAGTTAGCAAAATTAATGAATATCCTCGTTCATGGAATTCGTTCGAATAAACTCGAAAATTCAAAATAGTCGCCATATTTTTTTTTTCAATAATCATAGTTATGGAAGAAATTTGTTTAAAAACGATAAAAGTGATTTCCAGAAATGTTTATACCTCCATTTTCACATGTCCTTATAAAACGCAAATTAGCTTAATTATACAAATTAGGTGGAAAACTATTATTAGGACATCCGTATTTCGACAACCGCTGGTGTAGAAATTTGATTTTCTCTCAAAATATTCAGTGTATGCATGTTTCTAATTTCTTTATGAGATATATCTTCCGAAATTGACATCTTTGACCACTATAATACCTCCATGTTTTGACATAATATACCGTACTTCTCATATAGCCTTCGAAGCGTTTAGAAAATACTATCTCCCATTGTTTTTATTGTTCGTATTTTTATTTGTACGCATCATTATATCAAACGCTTCTGTTACAAAGTACACGGTTTGGCAATTTTTTGGGTCTCCTACATTCGAAGTTAAAAGAAAATTATTACATTTGTGGGCGAAGAGGTCATGTATTGTTGTTACATTTGTAGGCGTTATCACATTTGTTGGGAATGATCGTTATCGATTATATTTATAGTCCTGTTTGTTACATTTGTCGGCGCTGGTTGTTTGTGGGCATTATTACATTTGTGGGCAGTGTGTTGTTACATTTGTGGGTGTTTTCACATTTGTGGGGTCAAAAGGGAATCCAAAAAATGGTAGATCAGTATTAGAAGTTTCTTTTTTTTTTTCTTTTTTTTAAAACCAATAATGTGTTTATGCCTAAAACAAAATACACAAAAATACAACAAAGATCATTTTTAAATCTATATTGAAGAGCAAAACGATCACATAACAAGCAAGAGTGGCCTATTCCAGCCTTTTAGCTCATTAAAAAAATATTTTTCGTTGCAGTTAAAAAAAAAATACAGAAACAAACAAACTAAACTGCCGAACCTCGACATTTTGGGTCGGTCCAACACAATCATTTTTTATATTTGGCCTAAACTAACCCCCTGACACCATCTCGCCGCCTGCCCCCTCTATAGGTTTTTACATGAGTAATTATAATGCGTTTATTCAGAGTGGCGCATTCAATAGGGAAAAAAAGAGAAAATTATGCAATTTCCGGCCATAGAGGTGTATTTCCAGGGGACAGTGAAATTACATATTTCAAACTCCTGGATCCACTACGGCAATTGTGCCACCAATTTTCTTGATTAGTTCAGAAACAGCATTGTTGTTACGGTACTTTAGTATTTTGCTTTTTGACATTGACACAAATCTAAGAAAATGAACGAAAAATAATATTGCTATGGTACACATTCAATCAATACATCATGGTATTTAAGCATAATTATTTACAGTATATTTATTATAGAAAATAATGTTGTGTACTTGAACTATCAGGAATAAATAATACAGATAATGGCATGTTTTTTTTTCTTTTCAGTCGACTAGGTAATTTAGTGACGAAATTAATATCCAAGAAATTAAGTCCAAGGCAAGTGTATGGAACCTTTAGCCTAATTTTCTACAAAGCTTATTGTGTATAGTTTGACTACTTGATTTGGATAAAAGCAAAGCTCACATAGACACTGAATTTTAACTGAAGAAAAAATGCACCATAGTTACACTAAAGAAAAAAAAATAACGTAAACTAGCATTAACCGTTCACTCCAGAGTTTACAGATTCCTGTAGTATTGTATGGCACCCCATATTATTGTAGGTCTCGTATAAATGAGTGATTTGTTCATTGTAATACAGTATTCCATTCAATCAATTTCATACAGTAGGCCTATGCCTTTAAATAGCTTGGACATGGTAAACATTTTTTCAGACTAATCGATTCCCCTGTCCGTAAAGTACTGCATGTTGAACTTGTATGTGGTTCAATTCATGAATTTATAACTTCAAATAAGATAAATATTGCCATGATGATGGTACAGGTTCACAAGTACAGAATGAAGATAAAACTGACTTCATTATGCATCCCAGTGTCACGACATGAATTCGGGCCAAATATTCCTCATGCACCATTATTCTTCCACCTAAAACTTCCGTGATCGTTCGTTGCCAATCTTAATTATTATCTTATTGTAGCTGTTCCACCGCACGAATGTGTATATCATGAATCTGTGAACAAATATCACTTAACATGAATATTTTGAATTAATATAATAGCATTATACATTAGGTCTGCGTGGCATTATAAAATAGCCTACTTGTTGACGTATTTTTAGAGTGAGCATCCATATATCAGTGGCTAGATATTGTGTTTTGTTGCAAAAGGGCATGGTTTAAAAATATAGTTTGAATAATGATTCACGGGTTATACATAATTAAAATTAAACCAGGATTTAAGCATATGGAGCGTGACATGTAGTTATAACAATAAAATAAGACATGAAAATTACTTGGCAGTGCGGTGGGCAGTGTAGGGCATGAACCAGTTGATCAGCAATGTCTTCCGGTCGGAGAAGCTAGCAAATTATGAAAAGGAAATACATATTACTACTGAGAAATCAACCAATTTTCTACACTAATCACTTTTGAGTAATGTAGCAATGTTTATTCATAAGGATACACGTTTAATAGAATCAATTGCATGAAAGCGTCATGTGTCCAATGGTATGACGTTAAACTACATTCAGGCAGAGCAGGCAGGTGGTATGTGGGATTAGTCAGTCCTAATTAACTTCTAACCGTATAAACCTCTCTGTGACTGCCGGAATGGTCGGCGTCATAAAACCGAGCGGGTCCCTGGATATGGGGGAGGGAACTGGCTGCCTTACGAAGAGGTTGGGGTTGTGGATGGCCAAATGCTAAGCCTACCGCCGAAAACGGTAGACGTCGATAGCGGAGTGGCGATCCTTCGACTATCTAGCCTTTAATTTCTCATGATGTAATAGTCGGTTATATACAGATTGCCTTTCCAGAAAACGCGTACGGCTCTCTTCAGGGCTAAGGCACGCTGAACTGATTGCAAAGTCCATGGAGATGCATGATTTAAGACTCATAATAATATAAGTAGGATTTTGTAAAGATTCTTCATGGAGAAGAAGCCCATTGTTATTGAATATATTCATTGAATCCAACGATAAGTACACTTGACTTTGGATTATCAAAAACGGCCTTTAATACCTAAGCCAACGCCTCAAATGTTATTTTCGGGCGTCTAGAACACAACAATTTCGGACCCCCTAGGACAGTGTTGTCTCGATCGGCCCAACGTTCGGCCCCCCCCTTTCGCACCCACCCCCTTTTGGACATTTCTGGATCCGCCCTTGGTTTCTCGATAACGATTGATTTCAACTCGCCGGGGATTATTTTTGGCCCGTGAGATCAACTCTAAAATAATTTGCGGCCCTTGAAACAAATTCACTAAGAACCAAGGTATTAATTATGCTGTTGGGGCTGTGGTAAGAGAATGTAATATTATGGCACTTCTAGATAGCCGGAAATGGCACTCACAGACTTAAATATTGTAAATATAATTTTCTTTTTATCTCCATTTATAACACTTTTGACAAATTTGGTAGGGTCCCGGGCCGACAAGGCCCCTCCCTTTAATCCGACACTGAATGTAATATGATATATGCCCAACAGTCGATTTCAGAGACAATATGGTGCTATGTATCAACAAAGTCCTTTTTGGCCAGGGGGCTAGATCGAGAAACCTAAGGTTAGGGGCCTCTCCCGGGCCTCTAGGTATCGGGGGCCCTGCGGACCGCCGCATGGGAGCGCATAGGCGTTACGCCACTGGGGGAAGGGAGCCGCGGCTCCCCTGGATACCGTACGTCCCTGATTTGAGTAGTCCTAATGAAGCCTTAATAAGTTTACTTTGAATTTTATCGAGTTTGTGAATACAGAGTTAATAACATTGAGAACCATGTACAAGATTTATACAAGAATATTTTTCTAAATGTTTATGTTTTAACTTCAGCTGATGTACCATCCTCCCAGATTATATAAAGTATTATCATTTTATTACAATTGTTGACAAATTACAGCAACCGATCTTCATAACTGTCATTTAATTTTCACTTCAACTGATTAATTTGTCTCAAAATATTAAAATACAGTATACAAAAAATTAATTCTTTGGACATACTTAAATTTTTAACAATTTAGGGATCCGACTAACGGTCTATAAATCTGAAAAAAAAAACGTATATATTTTGAGGATTTGCAAGCTTACAAAAACGATAATGAATACGGTTACGTCATCAAATATCTATCACGACGTAGTCACCCATGCACTTTTGCATTTTACATAAATCAACGATTATAAATACAGATCGTACATTATCTATTGTCAAGACAGTTTTAGGCACGAATTACTATAATGAAAAATTCGTATTTGTTGTCGCTTTTGTAAGGTTGCAAAATCTTTCTATTATTTGAACCTGTTACATGTTCCTCATATGATACTTAATCATATACTGTTCACATTAATATTGACGAATAGCATAAATCTGGTATAAAAAAAGGACCTACCTTTAATTCACTAGATAATTTTTCCCCCTCTTCATCTCCAAGCATATTATTGAAAAAGTTTGTATCAACAGCGCCCGGCGATATACACTAAGAAATAAGAAATAAATTGTTGACAGGGAATTTTACTAATTATTCCAGCAATGCCAAATTTAATGCTGGACCTATAAAGAGTTTAATCAACCCCATGCGAGACCGTCATTCATCTGAACGAAAGAAAACATCTTGCCAATGGACCTTTCCGCTAAGCCCCGCCCCTTGGATGTTGTTGCTAAGGTTCCACAAGGCGACAGTGTTAAAACATAGGCGAACACGTGCGTTTGTGGGACAACACGTGTGTTTGTGAGACGCGCGCGTATTCCTAGCGCTGTTCTGATTAGTCAGTTGTTAAGTTTGATTGACACTCCGGAAAGGTCTATTGTAGCATACGAGACTACCTTAAAATTTAATCATTATCTTGCTTGATAACGTTTTTATCGTTTTTGTTTATGTGTAATCCGTTTAGTGTTAAAAAGACCACATTGTAAGATTGTAAGTCATTGCTTGACTATATGGACCATCCTTGTGGCTTTGATTTTTGCTGTTTTTATGTTTTTGGTTTTAAGATTTTTTGTACTCAGAAATTTATTGTAATTGATGTTATTTTCGGATAATGCTTGATATTTGTTGTTTCCCCCTTGTTTTTATGTAACTGTCGATTTTTGATGCTTTAATATTAAAATGACTCTTTTATTAAAATTTGATATTGGAAGCTACTTTTTGAAAGGATTTTCATGTATTTTAAACTGTGTGTGTATTGTTGTATAAAGCCGAATAAAATCAATCAATCAAACAAAAACGAGAGGAATTTGGGCATACACTGCCTTGATATCGTCACAATATAATAGATAGGGACACGAACCTCACAATGTTGCATGGGGAGGCGTACGCCCTTCAAAAATTACTTCCCCCCCCCCTAAAAATCACGGTCAAGTAGTTAAAAATCTCCTAAATCACCTCATTTTGCGAGTTAGCACCCCCTCAACTGATCATCGAGACCTCACCTCCACATCAACTTTGCTCCCCACATCAGCACCCACACTTCTAAATACGCCACTGCATGTAGGCCTTTCGACACGGTGATGTCAATGCGAGGTAATTCCAGGTGATGGTTGATGATGGTTATGATGTTGGTGATAATGATGATGATAATTATAGTCATATATATGATAATAAATAAAATAATAAACATAAGAATATGACCTCACTTATATTGACAGCTTATACGGATAACATATCACTCTAACGGTTTAATTAGAGAAAACATCTCCTGTCCAAATTCTTAATTTAGTCTCAATGATAAACAATGAAAACTAAAGATAGGCGAGGAGGATGATGATGACGTAATGCGGACGATGGTATCGTCGTAATGACGAGGGGAGGTGCAATACTATAATAACTGTAGTTTTAGTTTATTATTTATCGTAAAATTTATCATGAAATATACTTTTAAATAAAAACGATTAAAATTTTCACGGGTACTCATAGGCCTACTAAATAGTGAAAGCTTAGTAAGTGGCGTAACCAAGTTGTGGTGTGTCAGCCACTGATATGCTCTGTCCCTAGTTTTGCGACTTTCGATAAGTTATATGTAATATTTCTATTGAGACTCTTTTCAAAATCCTGGATACGCCTCTGAACAACATCACAACTGAGAGAAATTTATATACAATTTCAAAGTATATGCGAATGTGAGTTTATACGTGCTGATGTAGAAAAAACATGCGTACAGCAATTAACCTTTCCGCTAAGGCCAGCACCTTGGATTTCTAAGGTACCACTTTCAAGCAAAAGCATCTTTAAACGCGGGCGTTTATGAGACAACACGTGTTTTGGGACACGCTTGTATATGTGTACGCATGTAATTTCAAAGAAATTCCGAAGTTTTAAAAATTCATAATAATATGACGATGGGTAACTAACCGTAATTCTGATGTTGGAGTTCTGTAAACGAAGTTCCTGTCGAAGTCCCTCTGTCATTGCTGTTATCATGTGTTTAGTACCGCAATAGAATCCTAACGTTGAACCAATGCAAACACGATGGCCGTGTATAAGAGACAGATATATATGTATATGTATATATATATATGTATATATATATATATAATTATAAAATTATAATTAATAATTTCAGTAGAAAATGGTTACAGTTAAGTACAAGATAATCAATGAAAATCAAAGAACTGTGCCTCACGGGGTAGGGTCGATCATTCCTGGGCCGCAGCCGGCATACCCCAATATTAACAATTTATAGGTGTTATTTAGGACCCTAATGGCAGATGGATAGAAACTATTTACTATTTATTTATGGGATAATACAGTTCGAATACATTATTGGAATACTATTTACAGCGTTTATGTATATATTAGGAGCAATTGTAATCGTTTCTGTATTATAAACAATTGTTCTAACATGTGTATTATTAGTTAAGTCAGCGGTGGTTCCAGAAATTTGCCAACAAGAGTTCCGGCATGCCCGACAGGGGTCCGAACCAAGGGGGCGACTAGAGCCTCGGTCCGAGTCCAGGAATAAAAAATCCTGGTAGGGTACACAGGGAGAGTTTTATGGCTTAGCATGTTCCAAATTGTGTTTTTAGACCACACTGTTAGGGATTAGTAAAAATAATGATATTTGGATAGCCAAATTATATATTTTTTTAAATGTTTGATCCGACGACGGGGGGGGGGGTCAGGCTTGTCCGACGAGGGCAAATGTCTCCCTGCACACCCCCTCCCCCACCCGTAGGCGCCACCACTGGCTAGAGTGCGAGTTAGCGTGCGGTAAGGGATTTGGCTGCGAATTAGCCTGCTGTAAGTGATTTGACTTTTGCGCAAGGTGGATCTGTCAAGACATGAACTTGGTCTGGTAACGGCGAACTGTCTTGTGTGACTGTGAAAGGTAAGGCACTTTACTTCGTCCTTTGGATAGGTCGCTAAGCTGTTGATTCTGACTGCGTAAAAATAGCACGCTCTGCAGGGAAAAACGAATTTAGTACGGTACACTATTCGAAGGGCATTTTCTCCCTCTATATTGACAATCACTGTGGGCCCTGCTCTGCGACCGCCGTGGGTCCTTGAGGCCTCTGATCAACAAGGAACATTTACATTTTATAATTTTAGTTGATTTTGCTATAGATTAATAGTATTTTTAAAATACCACTGCAAAAAAATGAAACATTATAGTTTGATTTCTTTTTCTGCGTGATTCTTTTTATATACTATTTATATTAAGTTTTATGGTAAAAACCACACCTTGTCCATCCCAGCACTGTGGAACACAGTGAATGATTTTTGTCAATGTCACGACTAATTTGTAGTTAATAAATTAAATCATAAAATTAAAATTCATAATTAAAACACAGGAAAAGAAGTAAACCAACAAAATTTACAAGCAACCTGTTTAAGTGAAACACACATGGCCGTCGTCGACGCCATTGGATATCATTTGACCAACAGCCTCTCGCGTACAGATGCCAACTCCAAACACATCACATGGCATCAATAAAAAAAATGTTGCAATTAGTCAGAAATGAGGAAATTGGTTTGCTCGAATAGGAACATTCGATGTGATGTCATCATGACCACATTTAGGTCACAGTAAAAGAAGGAAACCAACAAAATTTACAAGCAACCTATTTAAGTGAAACACATGGCCGTCGTCGACGCCATTGGATATCATTTGACCTACAGCCTCTCGCGTACAGATGGCAACTCCCAACACGTTTACCTGTCAATAAAAAAAAATGTTGCAATTAGTCAGAAATGAGAAAATTGGTTTGCCCGGATAGGAACATTCGGTGTGATGTCATCGTGACCACATTTAGGAATGTGACATGATTTTAATAAATCGATTAATAAATCAATCAATCAAATCAATCTATCAATCAATCAACTAATCAATTAACAACAACAAACAAAAAAGTTGAAAGATACCTACTATAACCAAATGAACAAGTACCGGTACAGATAAACGCAAATGTTATACAAAAAAAGTTCATTATGTGGTAAGATAAGAAATATATAATAACACGTTAATTTAACATTTATGTTCAATTTTCCTTGCATGTTTCAATGAACAAAATCTGTTAGTATAGAATATAAAGTGGGGAGAAAAGAGGGTAAATTAAATTATGAATTTTTACATTCTTTAAAATTTGATAATATCTCCCATTATCGTTGCAGCAATTAAACTCATTAATATATTGCAAATTTACTATTTCATAATATAAATTGTATGATACCCTCCAGTTTGAGTCCAACAATTAAATTAGACCATATTTATCTTTTCCCTGTATTGTTAAAACAGCCCCACCAACATACTTTAATAAAACTTGTTTCAGAGTTGAAAACTTCCTTATTTGGACAATGGACTCTTCCGCTAAGCCCCGCCCCTTGGGTATTATTTTCACAAGATGCTTGTGGTGAGACACGCGCGTATTCCTGGCCCTGTTCTGATTGGTCAGTTGTTAACTTTGATTGACACGCCGGAAAGGTCTATTTCACCAAACTTCTACACATGCGCCAACTGTAACTAATCATATTTACCTCCAACATGTATCGCCAGTGTTCTGTTTTTCCAGACAGCAACGGACAATCAAAGGAAAGACCAGCATTGTTAACACAAACGTCAACTCCGCCAAACTTATCCTTAATTTCAGAAAACATAGCTAGGATGTCAGCTTCTTTGCTGACGTCACATTTAACTGGGTATAACAAGCCAGATATGTTTTGCCTTTTTAGTTCATCGGCAAGTGCCTAAAAAAAAGATTTATTAGAGTAAGTCACTGTATGCCATTCGAGGTTTTCAATTCGTCATTCGTGGTCAGTACGACGAAATATACAAGTACAGTAATGTAATGTAGCGGGACTTATACCGTAGCACACTGCATCGAAGTCTCAATGCGCGTAAATATTATGGTGATGGAATCTTAAGTTGTTACCAGTGCCCGGAAGAATATTATTTGTCTATAATACTTTTGTGAAAATCATATTGTAACCAACTAGATCGTAACAAACATTTAGCGAAGTGACTGTTCGCGCGGTAGACATAGCCAACCAGGATCTAAAGTTGCGATGACGCAGTTGAAAAAACCTTGTTGCTTTCATTCGTTGATTCGCTGTAAGGGCTGGGTAGAACGCCCTATTCTTAAAATAGCATTCACATTGATTCGTCTTGGTCGGGTTAACCTAAATTCAATTCAATCTTGTTCACAACTTTCTCAAATAAAATATTTAACATTTTTATTATTATTATTATTGTTCGTTGGTATTGTACTTGTTATTATTTCTGTTTTATTAAGTTTATTTTACGGATTTTCTTTTGTAAATTTGGTAAATGCTCAGTACGGTATATTTTGTAGGTCTTTGTAATTTTGCAAAGGAATTTCATTTCATTTCCTTTAATAAGTAGATTTACTCATTGCTCTAAGCTTGTTCTCCACAATCGCTACACGCTCTTCCCGACAGCTTTCGGTGATGCTTATTGGTCGGTCGATTCGGGTACCTTCCATGCGTCGGGGACTACACGCGGTGAACGATTGCACTGAAAACACTGTAGCGACCGTGTAGCGATTTTAAGGAACTTAAATTTATTTTACCGTTTGCTTTTTATCTTATTCATTTTTTGTTAATTACTTAAATACATTCTATTGATGTAATGGGATTGTCTTGTTAATTTGGATAGCCTATATTGTTGTTTTGAAAATCCCGTCATGTTGATGTGTGCCACTGGCGTTATAAAAGTACGTTCAGATAAATTATTATATTTTCCTGTGTTTGGTGTATGTCTAAATGTATACAGTATTTGTAAATTCCTGCCTACAGTTTTAGGTCTACATGTGTCAAATTTTCACAGATGATTTTTGATATTAAAAACACTTAAAACTATGATATCTCAAAAGCTGTATGAAACGTTCTGGAAGTCTTAACCAAGTTGCAAGGAAGACAATTATTTTATTTTAGTGGTGATCCAGTTTCCGGCGTGAAGTTGTGTGTGTGGGGGGGGGGGGGGGGTGGTTGCCATTTAATGTGCTAACGTCCCAGACCTAAATATCGCATCAACTCATTATTGGATCTGAATGAAACTTTTAGAATGGTTTGTCATAGTCCAAGGAAGAAATTATTAAATTTTGGTGACGATCAGGTGTAGGCTGTGGATATGAGGACCATTTTAAAGGGAACTTATATACGGTACCCTATACATGCTGAAACTCTTCAATAAATTCCCATGCTTGTGCTACCAAGTCCTCAAAAATACCCCGTAAATGCGGCACATACCCGTAGAAATATCGAAGAGTAACCCCCACTCCCCGGGGTCCAAAATGATTTGTCATGGTCCGAACCATGATTGAAGGCTCTTAATGGCTACCGGATCTCATAATTTTCTAAACTAGAAAGTGTAGCATATTTTACTCTAGTCAATTGCATAAATTCAATAACAGTGTCCACGATGAAATAGGAATGTGTGCAAACTCGACTGGTATAGGAATGTGTGTAAACTCGACTGGTTGCGATGTGTGTAAACAAACTCGATAGGTAGGGATGTGTAAACTCGATAAGAGGGATTGAATTCGATGTCCGTTCTGGCGTGTCGCAGCGTGACTATTAAACAATCTACAATGGAACAATCTTCGATCCTTGCATTGAAGTAAAATACATACATTCATAAAGTACCCGATAAATGTATATCCTATTTTTGTAGTGCATCGTACTGTGGTGCGAACAACAAAGACATGAATACAGAAAATACCTAGTCTTGAATAAATATACGAAGATACAAAGTTCATAGCCTAATATAACTTGTTGTAAAAAAAGTAAAAATAGACTCATCTGTATGTCAAAAATTATTTACTGACGACGATACAAAAAAAAAACCTGTGTAGGCCTCCATATATTTTTAGAACGCATTATTTCTCTAAAGTCTGATTATATATTGTTATTAAATCATAAATCATATAAATAAATTACTAATAAATTATAAATTGTTATTAATAACATAAATCATATTTTAAAGGTTTGTTTGTAATATTTATTACACTCCAATCAACTCCAATACATCAAAATAGAAAAATAAAAACGGCAAAAACAAAATGCAGTGAACAGAATAAAAAAATAGAGAAAGAAATGCAGAGGATAGATCTGTAAGCCCTGAGGCTTGTTTCCCTAGAGGTAGAGGTAACTGTTGTATTGATCATGGAATACATGATGTTGTATTTTTTTTTAAATAATAAATACAGTAATAATAATTGTCGACTCATATAGCGCATATTATAGAGACCTCTATAGATAATAGATAATAATTATCCCCGGTCATTGGATCTAGCACATATGGAGAGAATTCCATAATGTTGCAGCTGTAATCCAGGCCCGGGATTTATCAATCTCAGCTTAGCAAATGTCTTAAGTCAAAAAAGTTAAGATGCCCCTAAGCAAATATCTTAAGCTGATTTATCAAACTATCTTATATGGCGCATGCATCATAATCGACTTTTTAATTTTAAGCAATTTTGAAGCTAAGCAATATTGATAAATTTGACTTAAGCAAAAAATGCACCTTTCTAGTCTTTTCTAGCTGATTTCTAGTTTGATAAATCCGACCCCAGGTACCCACTTGTACTCCTGGGCAGGGACGTATCCAGGTGGGGGAGCCGTGGCTCCCCGTGGGAGCCAATAGAAATTCTTTCCTGGGATCACTTAAAATGAATACTTCTAAACATGTAAATATGCATCAGTACACGTTATACATAGGCCTAATAGAACACATAGGCCTAAGCGTGATTAAAAAAAATCTTAAATCCATAAATGTCAGGCCAGGTATTTTAAGATAGAAATGCAATACTGTGGTTCAATTTCGTTTTTATCCGTTTGCAAGTTTCTTTAAATGTTTGTTTAATAATACCACTACTAATAGTAATAATAATAATAATAATAACAATGATGATGATGACGATAGTAATAATTGATATTAATATTAATAACAATAAAAAGTGAAGAAAATTGTGCTAAATGCGAAAAAAAGTTGTGATTTGTTGATCATAATATACGGTAGTATATATAGTTAAAGCTTAGTAAGCTATAATTAGGCCTAAGTTGTCCTGTATATTAAGTATTTTATCCCTGATAAAAGATCATGATAAAGTTGTTGGCGTTTCATTTTGATTATTATAATGGTAATGTGATGATGATGAATTTTACTATATAAAAGTGTCATTTCCGGCCATCTCGAGAGGTACTACTGTATTTCCTCAAATTTTCTCACCTCAGCCCCAGCCATGGTGGGGCTGAGGTGGTTGTGAAATCACGTTTTTGAAGTAGGCCTATGTAGGTACATACTCAAAGACAATGTTTTTAAGCTTTGTTTTCTATGGTACACAAACACATTAATAAGATCTCTATGGTTGTCAAAAATCCCTGATAAAAGATCATGAGAATTTTTTTTGGCGCTTCATTTTGACTAATGGTGATGTGATGATGATGAATTTTACTAAAAGTGTCATTTCTGGCCATCTAGAGGTACTATTTCCTCAAATTTTCTCAACTCACCTCCAACCATTGTGTGGCTGAAGGTGAGTTGGACTCACAAAATGCCCTCCCCCTCCACCTTTCAAAACAGATCTGTGCCCTTCCCTGGGTATGACATAACTCCATCGAGTCGGCTCCTGATGTATGTCTTAGTGACTGCTGTTTGTTTTTAAGATGTGATCTGGTTTTTCATGTCCATTTTTCGTGATTATGTGGGTGGTTCCTCTGTCTGTGAAAGCCCCTCCCTGAGTCCTGTTTCACCTCTCTTTCGAATTTCTGAATCTGCCACTTTTGATTTATTATATAATTATTTTTTCGCTTATTTATAATGCGTCTATTGCAATTTTCACTTTATCCTCTCAAACAGTCCTAAGAACGTTCAGAGTGCGCTACTTCACAAGGGGATTCGCCCCCTTGACCCCGCCGGGGTCATACGTAATTCGCATAACGGCTCCCCCCCCCCCTTTCAAAATCCTGGCTACGCCCCTGCTCCTGCAGGGATGTAATTGTGCAGGGCGGAGCCGGACGGGGCCGCCCTGCCTAAAAGTCAACCGCCCAGCCTAAAGCAAAATTTAATGCCTTCCGCCCAGCGTCAAACCCATCCCGAATTCTTACTTTTTTCGCGAGATATCATCACATATTTCTAGCCTCAATTCTCATGCAAGCAGCCTAGCAAATAAAACAACATCGAAAAACCAACCAAGTGGAACTGCAAGGCTTTAGCGCTGATTGGACGCTCACGTTCTACTTGACTGAACAGTAAATTGTGTGATCAGCTGGAAATTGACACTCGTCCTGTATGCGGTATTGTTTTGAACGCTCGAGTTAATACACTGTAAAGATGGCCGAAGCGAGTGTAAATCGCTGAATGTCTGTTGTAAACTACATCAGAATTGCAGTGTCTGTATTTTTAGAAGTGAAATTTCTTTTACCAAATCACTGACAAATGTTCCAACATTTATGTCGGAGAGGTTAAGCCAATATACATCAAAGGGAGTAAAATATAGCGAGAATAAAACTTGTACATTTTTTAAAGAGAAGTAGGCCTAGCCTATGGGGATTGTGAATGATTCCCGTACGCTGTGCGCTACGCGACCCGTGGCAATCACTGGTCGGAAGGCTAAGAATAAAGCATAAAATCACAGCTTACAGCAAACATTTTTTTAATGTACAGCGACAAAGTGTTATATGCCAGTTATATACTACAGGCACATTTTTGAATTAGTTTTCATATATATATATATATTCTCAAATATATTACTTAACCAGAGAGCATCTGTTCATGATTACTGTACAATTTCGCTATTCCCGCATCCAATGTTTTGATTTTATACCGCATACAGATCACGTGACTACCCTGGCAGCAGCAAGCGCAAAGTGTCA